CGGGTGAACCTTTCCTGAGCGAAGGGCAACGCTGAGCTGGCGAAGGGAAGCAAAGGAAGTGCAGCTCAAAGTAAATCCCAATGGTCGTTGCAGCGCAAAGACGTTTCTGGGTGGCTTTTCATGTGTCCTCCGTGTTGTGGCCCAGGAATTTCCTTCCGGATATCAGAGGCGTCTCTCGGTTGTGCCCAGCAAGAGCGCTCTGAGCTGAGGGGTGGGCAGCGCAGGCAGCCTGAGCCCACCTGAGCAGGTACGGCGGCTGCCTGGGCTATTGCCAGCACTGGGAGCTGAAAAGGAGGGTTCACTGTCAACAAAACTGTCCTCTGGGTGAGTTGAACTAAGCAGCCTGTTCAAAGCCCAGCACTTCGAGAGGCAGGCGAGCAGGCCAGCTGATTTAAAAGATCAGAGCAGCAGAAGGTTTTACCGTAGTTCCGGCTTCTCTTGACATGAAATAGTTAATTCAGTGGAGCACTGAATTGCAATTCTGCCCTCTTTATTGGCGCCTGTTTCAAGTCTGAAGTACTTGCAGGGCTTTGCAGCGGAAAGCCAAGGCGATTCTTGAGGTATTGAAATAGCAAGGTGTACCCGTGGAAACCCAGAAATCTGCTTTACCTGGGCACAGCTGGGCCCTGTTGCTTGGGAGAGCCCAGGCTGGGATCCTGCAGGGTGGGGACCGTGCTCCCAGCCACTGCGAGGGGAGGCGAGCGCGGTCAGCACCGTCCAACGTTCACAGAATGGCCCCGTTGGCAAGCGCGAGAGCGCAATGGGAAGCTGCTGCTGAACAGGCAGGAAAAATGCTGTTACAACTGCGGTGAAATTCCAGCATAAGGTTGACAGTTCATTTACGCACAAGTAGGTCTCTCGCGCTGATTCGTTTTCATTATGTAACGAGGCTGAAAGCCCCTTTCCATTCACGTCCTCTCCAAAATAGCTCAGCTGTGCGTGTATGGGCAGCTGGCATGTTCTTGAATGGACCAGGGTAAAATGCCTTTTATCCACCTAACTGTTCGTAGAGGTCACAAATAGTTTTTTGGCTAAGAGCACACATAAATTTGTGGGTACGTGAGAAAGGGTAAGTAAATAATAACCAGCATTATGGCACAAGCAATGGGAAGCCCCCACTGTTCCTCACTGTAATCAGAAATGAGCCTGCAAAGAACTGGAAAAGGATCAGGGAAACCTTAATGGTGCATTCCTTACGTCTCAAAGCTTCACTCGTGGTGCTGGAAATTCACACAGGGCTTGTACAAGGGCCAGGCTGTGTCTCAATCCCCTCAGCCTTGCGAGTGGTCTGTGTGGGTGTCTCACACTGCTCGTTACTAGGCCTTGCCACAAACACCTTTGATCTTCTGCTGAAGGGGGGTCCTTAGCAAGGCCTGGGACTGAGCCAATGCAGATCTCTACCCACATTCATTAGAATAGGGCAGCTTCAGGGTTTGCAAAGACCCCACGGAGAGTTTATTGTCCCCAAGGAGATCTCACTCTTCAGAAAGTTTTTGTTAAGTTATGCTCTTGCTTAGCCCCCCCCAGGCTGGAGGCTGATGACAATCCTACTTCTTGTCCACTCCACCCTGACAGCCTGGAGGCAGCTATCCTTCAGACTATCACTTCTTTTGCTCCAGCACTCCCGAGGGGGACAATGGGGTCATCTTTTTTGCTACACCTGTCACCAGATGAGCTCAGTGTCTTCTTATATGCTTGTCTCCCCAGCTGGGACATGCCTTGCCTGAAGAAGAGTAAGAACTGTGTCCAGTTCAGTCAGCTAATCCTCTCCCCATGGAAGTATTTGGGTAAGATGACCTAATGAAGACCTGCCTGGGATGCTATAATTAATTCTGACTGCATCAGTCTACTGTTTATACATCTGTCAGAGCTGTGTATGTGAGGGTGTGCAGCGCATTTGTGCTGGCAAATTCTGTCTGGGCTTTGTGTGCTTCAAACAGCCTCTTATGTGAGTTAGGACATCAGTTTGAGTCTACAACATGAGATCTGAGACATATTTTAGATGAACAATTTCAAAGGTTTTCAGCAAATGCAATGATTTATTTATTATTATTTATTCTCAAATTATTAGAAATACTATTAAATTACATTAAAATACAAGAACAGGAAGTAATACAAATTAATTGGAAAAATATTGCTAAGTGTAGGTATGTATTTGGAGATTAATTTTGATCAAATGCAGTGTTCACGATGCACCCGTAATCTTGCTCATGTACTCTGTCATCACATACATCACTGGAGTATTTCAAAGAAGATTCCCTTGATTTCCTAGCTATACCCACCTTTTTCTTCCTTCTGTAAAATGGAAAAAAAAAAAAGAACAACCATTTTTAATTTCTATTCTTAGCTGTAGAAGGAGGTCAAATAATGGTATGAGCATGAATGAAGTCAGATTTTGGAGAACCCCAAGTTTTGTGATAGTGATGCATATGCCCTGTGTAAAGGAAATGGCATATGTTCGTTTCTGTAGAAAAAGCTGTTTCCCTCACATTCCTCAAATAAGATCCTGAATGCTGTGGTTCCTTTCTGATGCTGCAGGTATGTGACTAATGGGAGTTTTGAGGTTTACAGGTGCTTAAAGGGGTGTATATGTCTCGACTCTGCTGAACGTGGCAAAGCTGGGAAAAGCCTTACCTGTATATGCACACTATAGAGGAGATGAGAATGACGATAACAACTACGCCTGCCACAACTCCGACGACGATGGCAACTGTGTGATCCTCAGGATCCAGTATGGGATCGTCTGAAGAAGAAATAAGAGTCCTGTCAGTGAAAGCTAACCATACTGTGAACAGAATTTTTTTCTCAACCCTTGCCTGTCTTCTAGGTTTATACTGTGTTCTCTGATGAATGTGGCTTTCTGTAGTGGTGTCAGATCCGGGTCCTGTATGCTCTCCAGAGTCCTGCTGTCATGCCTTCTAGCACCTCTCCACTGGGGGATCTGACCCCTTCTTTCTGCTTGGATGATCACAGGCATCCACCCACTGGGTTACTAATTTACAGCATGGAAATTAAGAGCAAGCTCAGTCTTGTCCACAAAGACACCCATTTTTGAAAGTGGTGTGTGTAATGCAGACAGTAAAATCCAAAATTAGTTTTATTACCTATCTTTTCAAGCTCGCAGCTTAGTCCTGTGTACAGTTCTGGACATTCACAGTAGAAGGGAAGAGAGGTGCTGTTGGTAGTTTCAGAGCAAACTCCATCATTCTTACAAGGATCTGGCATACATGGTCCACCTAGCAAAAAAGAAGGAGAAACACTTCAAACTCTCAGATAATCCAACCCTGAGAGAACTGTTCTTGCTTAGATTACACTGACTCTTAATGCTGGACATCCCCTGTATTTTAAGGCACATTACTGGTACATGACAACAGAAATAAGGGAAAGAAACACTGTTCCTACAATGAAACATTAGAGCAAGATCCCCTGTGTGCTTTTCTTCTGTGCACACTCTGTTGCAACTATCCCTAACCTAATGATGCCCCATAAGCAGTACATCAAGACTTCTTAGCATCAAACACAATATGATGGTCATTGACTCACTCCTGTAGCATCCACGACTGTAGTTTGAAATGCCACAGATTTCATCAGATCCACACACTATCTTAGAGCAGGAGACAGAGGAGCTTTCTGTGCACTGGCATCTCTGAGAGCAGTCATCAGTGGTGAATATTTCTCCAACCTGGAAGACAGCAGTTAAATGTTAAAAAATACCAAATAAAATCAGGCAGAAGAAACATGAATGGGGCAGTGGGGCCCCATGCTACTCTCTCTGGTGCCTCGTGATGAATGGCAACAGGGCAGATGATTTTTTTTTTTTTTAGTAGTTTGTACAGAAAAGCAACTAAGCATTTTACTAATCCAGCTCTTTGAAATCAAGGATGGCCCAAGAAAGAAAGCAAAAGAAGAGTTTGGGGGATGAGATCCCAGCCCCAGGTGGGAGTCCATGTGCAACTAACAATGTCTAACTGTTGCTGGAAATAAGAGAGTGGCAGATGCATCACATCATGCCTCAAAGGCAACGTGGAAATGCTATGTGCCATTTTTCAGGCAAGTGCCACCCGTTCATAGTAAGTATCATCTCCCTCCTCCCATAAAACAATCTTTACTGGCTTAGGCCTTTTCTGTACCAAATCTCTAGTGTTAAAACAGAAATCTATGAGATTATGAAGCTGTTCTATTCTGCAGCAACAATGGAGGATTCTCTGTATTCCTCAGAATCCAGCCTTGCTTGGGG